AACTCGTATTCGTATCCGACAGTCGACGGAGCTCACGCCACTCAGGGAATTGTTCGAGCTTCTCCAGATAAAGTCGGAGCTGTTCGAGCCTAACCAACCGCAGACCTCCACCAACTCCGATCCCGAAAGGATACCGACCCCCCAACCCTCCGAGGGCCAGGAGAGCTCCAGCTACGAATCGCAGTACGACGGCAGGTCGGTAACGTTCCTTCTCTCCTTGTGTGACGACGCACGAGGGTCAACAACCCTTTTTCGCTCGAACCAACAATTGGATTTCCCGAATCCCCGTTCGGTGGATTTTCTTAGCTAATTTGAAACGATTTCACGCGCGTATAAACTTTTGTATTCCAATTTTAGGTATCTTGTAAATGTAGAGAATGAAAATTTGTGGAATGTTAAAGTCTATATATAAGAAGTTCTTTCGACGGATATTTTGATAATAAAGTGATTATTAAGATGCATCCTCGGGGCAAATATCGCGTTTGATGTTTTTCATCTTTTTTATTTTATTAAAAGCTTATAATAATGTTCTCACATTCATCATCTATTATTTTTATTATTTTCATCGCTATTTTCTGCCTCTCTACCGTCAATTAATAATTTCGTTATTTAATAACGAAAAACTCGTTTTGAAGTGTATATCTCAATAATGTGCTCTTATATTCTTATTTTTCATCTTCTTATATTATATCTCTATTTTCATCGCTATTTTCCTTTATATATAATTTCTTAACGAATACAAATAATTTCGTTATTTAATAACGAAAAATTTATCTTGAACTGAATATCCCAATAACGTGTTCTTATATTCACTGTCTATTATTTTCATTATTTTCCTTCTCTCTATTGTCGATTTCTTAATGAATACAAATAATTTTGTTATTTAATAACGAAAAACTCATCTTGAACTGAATATCCCAATAACGTGCTCTCACATTCATCGTCTATTATTCTTATTATTTTCATCGCTATTTTCCTTCTCTCTATCGTTGATTAATAGAAATAATTTCGTTATTTAATAAAACTAACGTTGAATAATAACATTCACCGCCTATTATTCTTATTTTTCATTTCATATTTATCTTACTTTTCTTAATACATCTCTACGTCCCTTCTCTCTATCGTCAATTAACGAATAGAAATTTCGTTATTTAATAACGAAAAACTCGTCTTCAATTAATATCCCAAAAACGTGTTCTCACATTCACATTCATTATTCTTACTCTTCTTATATTTTTACCTAACAAAAAATCAAACTCATTACAAACTCGAAAACTTTGAAAATAATATTTCTATCAAACTGTCAAACTCGAAAAAAAATTTAATTCGAGATAAAAAAAAAATCGAACCATTCGATAATACATTATTCCACGCTTTACGATATTTAAAAAAAAAAAAAAAAAATCAAACGTATCCGAGCGCAAAGGGTTAAATTTCTCTTCCCCTTTCCCCTTTCCTTCCACACTTGCAAAAAACCGAGTCGATGATCGACGATGGACGGACTTTCAGACAGTCCAACAATCCCGCGGACTGTTGCTCGGTGCTCATAAAGACGGAGGGATGCGAGGAGGAAGCGGAGGTGGATGTCGAAGGCGTGGAGGAGGCGCTGCTCACCGAGGGGAACAGGGAGAGCAGCATAGAACCGCCGAGGCGGAGGGACAGCTCCGACCCCGTCAATCTTAGCCTGAACTCGGGCACCTCCACGACCAGCGAGAGCTCCCACGACATCGTGCCCAGGTAAGAAAGAACCGATCCCCTTCGAAAATCCCTCGTCCTCCATTTTTCACAGGGAAACTTCAATTCTTCCTCCAAAATCTTCCCCCCCTCCCCAAATATTCATTTATATATTATATATATTATTATAATATATAATTTATAATATACAATTATAATTTATATAATATAATTTAATATTATAATAATTTTATATAAATATAATTTATAATATATAATTATAATATATATATTATATTGATATATTATTATAT